ATAACTGAAACTTAGGCCTACAAAGATTAAGTAAAAACTTAAGCCTACTTGTTCCTTTAGCTTTGTCAAGGTTACTATACTTTAATTCTATTCCCTTACACCTGTTCTTAGATCCCTGAAATCTGAATGAGAATGCTATCACTTTAAATATCCAAAATGGCTGCCACGTGTAAACAATCAAAATGGCTGCACCCTCTGCACAGCAGAAAGTCCACAGCTCAGGTTGTCTCCCTCCTTGCTGTTTCCCTTCCTAGTCATAGGCCACCAGAGTAGTTGTCCCTGCCGCCCTTGGTGACCGGGACTGATCTCAGGTCAATTCTCAGGTCCCAACACCACTTGGAAATATTCAGGCTGTTGGTCCTGTCAGAGTAGCTGACAGTCCGCAGCTCCAATTCTCTCTGTACTCACTGCTTTCGTTCAGGTTTTTCCACTAGTTGGTGCCTAATCCACTTCTGTATAGTTCCTTTCAAAGCTCAGGTTTCCAGGATTATCTTCTGTATCTCTGTCAATTGGTTTTCCTTTTCTTTGTTGAAGGGGGTCTGTGTCGCTTGTCTGCCTGTTCCTCCATTTTACCAGAAGTCTGCTGGAATTCTTAAATAGAGCTTCAAATGGGTTCTTCCTGGTTCGGTCATGGCTGATTAAATGAAATTGGAGTGGACTGGAATTTATAAATTGTGGGTGTGCCAGAAGGATAACCAGAACACAAAAAATTACGGGTCAATATTCTGTTAGAAATTTAATCTTCTTAGAAAACAAGGGCAGTATATGTATGTTGTTTATCAACCAAATCTCTTGACCAGTAGAGTCAGAAACAACGATGCCTGGCCCAAAGATGGCAGCCGTCTGAGCCACTTTGAATGTGCATTGCTCCCTCCAGTCCTGGCAATAATCCAGTTTCCCACGAGGCTCCCATAAAGGCTCACTCACTCTCTTCCAAGTCTCCCATTCCAGAGCTTCTACCCATCATTTTCCCCAATTCTGGTTATTGTTCTGTACAGTCACATTTTAAAAATTCAGTATGTTCAGATTTCACTGTGTTGGCCATGACTCAGCCAGTTTGAAACCCTGTTTTGAAATGACAAGCATCTCCAATACAATCACACTAGAAACAGCCACAGGAGCTCTGGTAGCATAGTGGCTAAAGCACTTGCCTGCTAACCAGAAGGCTGGCGGTTCAAACCCACCAGCCACTCCTCGGAAGGAAGGTTGGGCAATCCTACTTCCGTAGTGATACTGCCTTGGAAACCCAAGGAGGGGTCGCTATATGAGTCGGGGCCGACTCGATGGCACATAACAACAACAACAACAACAAGAAACAGCCACAGTGGGGCAGGACCTCATGCTGCCACCAGAGGGCACAAGAGGCCAAGCAACAGTTAAGTGGGTGTCCAGCGATCTGATGGAAGTAAGACTCAAATTTATCCGGTGCTGTTATAAGCTAGACGTTGTGCTCCACACAGTAAGTAGTCGTACAGAGTTCCAAGGCAGAGATCGGAGTCCAGAGGCAACAGAATGGAGTGAAGAGGGCAGGAAATGGCCAAGCACAGTGCCAGAAAGAAAAAGATCATGGCTCTGTCCCAAGTCAAGGCAGCTGGCCATTTGCTAGGATCACTGCATATTTTTTTTTTTGACACTGGTAAGAATTTAGCCTTTCACCTGAGTGAACATTACACTTTCTTGATAGTTTTTTTGTCTGTCCTTACCAGGAGGCATGGTGGGACAGTAAAGTGCACGGCTGCTAGGCGTGTGGTTTACCCATTCCATGGGAGAAAGATGTGGCAGTCTGCTTCCATAAAGATTACAGCCTGGGAAACCCTATTGAGCAGTTCTGCCCTGCCCTGTGGGGTTGTTGTGAGTCAGAATCAACTTGATGGTAGTGGGTTTGGTTTTGGTTTTCTTTGCTTACAGGGACAAACACAATCAGGCGTCATCTGTTCCAGGCTTTTCCCATCGTTTCCCACGTGAGATGTATTGGTATTTCATAATGCAATGGCTCACTAGCTTTAGCACTTAATCTTTGACTTACTAATACTATCTCTTGCACTTTATGATAAAATTCCCCAATTCCATTGAATAGTTACTGATGGGGACTGCAGGACGAGTGCTAAGCAGATCAAGGTTAAAGCCCCGGGTACTTCCCTTCACTCCTCTCTTCTGTGCAAATGCGGCCGATGAGCTTTGGGTGACCACTGCCTCACCCGTCCAGGGGGTGCGTTCTCTCTTTCTAAGGTGCTGTGGGCATTCTCACCCCCTTGCACAGCTGTAGCAGACACTGCTGAGGGCCTGGGGGAGTCTGTCAAATGGCCAGTGGTCGGACTCCAGTGGATTTCTTTTTCAGTAAGAGGTTTGGTTCGTTCTCTGTTTTTCCTTTTCTCATTTCTCCCCCTGAATCTTCTCCTTTCCACACTGCAAACTTGCTTATGTGTTGAACTTTCTTCTCAGTTGTTTTTTAAGGGGTTTTTTTTAAAGAAATTTTTTTGGTAAGCTTTCTGTTAAAACCTCCTCTTCTTGAACTTTAGACCTGCACGTCTAGAACTAGTCTTTCTCTTCCTTTGGTCCTCTTCAGTCTTTTCCCTTCTTCCCTGCCTTGGGTGTGACACCTTGGGGTCAGGCTTCCACACCATCTAGTGAACGTCGACTGTGGTTTCTGTTCGGATGGCCCAAATTCCAATGTTAGATCCCAGTAAGTAGGGTTATGGGGGCTCAGAGAGGTCTCACCTTCAGACTAGAGCTGAGGGATGAAGCTGCCCACGTGGGTGCTAGAGCAGGGGAGGCAGCAGTAGGGTGGGGCTACGGCCTTGTTGCCAGGGACTCCCCTACTTTAGTAGATGGGATCCAGAGCCCACCCCTGCCATGTGCAGACCTGTTGAATTAAACTCTGCGTGTGATGGGTCTCTGGGTGTGAGGATGTGACTGCACTGACTGGTTGCCCAGGTGGTTCTGACTGATGTGGTGGCTGTGCAGTTGTGGTGAGCTGCGCTGAGTCGCCCTGACCACGGTAACCTCATGCACAACTGAACGAAGCACTGCTCCTCCCGTGATTGGCTGGGGATCGGACTGTTGTGATGCATGCGGTTTTCAGTGGCTGCTTTTAAGCAGCAGATTGCCAGCCCTTTCTTCCTAGTCTGCTGGTAAGCTCCTTGGAAACCTGCTCACATCACAGCACTGTGCAGGCCTCCATGCACAGACAGGCAGCACCTGTGCTTGAGGCGCACTGGCTGGGTACAGAAACCAGGTCTTCTGCAAGGTGAGAATTACACCCTCAAGAAGTTGCTTTACTCAAGCCAGGCTGGCCTGGAAGTTCTGGCTCTACTGTGTGCATCTGTGGCTACAGCCTTCCCTCTTTGTGTTAAGAAAGTCATCTGGAGCCTCAGTTGAGGGCGATAAAATCCAGAAGCGAGCCCTCCCCCATGGTATACCAAGGCTGTCGGGGGAGCAGTGCTCCCAGGTGCAGGCAGTAAGTGGGCTGCCATCTGCAGAGCATGTAAAACAATAATAAAACCAAGGTAAGAGTAATAATAAAACTGAGGTAAGAGTCGGTCAGCTTCTTATCACCAGGCCCCAGCAAGTCTACACATTATCAGTGATAAAATCTTCCTTCCTGTTTGGAACCAGCAACCCACTGGCCACCCCACTCCACTGCCCCTCTCCAAGTCATGATGCTGTCAGATGAGCCACCACCAACAAGCAGCAACTCATCTTTGTTGGTTTCTTTTCAGTGTTTTATTTTTCAAAATATACAATTTATTTACATCTTTATTTCACAACTGTAGTTTTGTATATTTATTCCAAAATCTTTAAATAGCTCCACAGTAAACATTACAAATCAGAGGATCAAACTGCTTCTCTTTAGTCTTTACACTCATTGAGTTTTTCAAAAAGTTTCAAGTAGTAACGGTTTGGGGGGTAAGGAGGGAACAAAAATATGGCAAAGAAATTTTTTTATCTAGGATCAACACTTAGGATTAGAAAGGGGGTTCTGACCAGCTACCTAGCCTGGGATCAGATGAAGGGCATCTCTGTCAGGTTTATAAATAAGACCCTCTTGTGTGCAGAGAGGGTTTTGGTTATGAGGAAGTAGGAGCAGGACCTCATCTGCAGGGTCTGGGGTGGGCAGGAGAGCCAAGGCGGGGAGATAAGGCACCACGTGAGGCTTCTTGTCGATTCAACTTAAGGAGGCACTGGTCGGGAGGGTCCTGAGTGAGGAGGCAGGGCCACCTGTGCCAGGTGGAGGGCTGGGGCAGGGCTCCCCCCAAAGCTGAGGCCTCTTCAGCCTCTTGGGGAAAACCTTTGTGCCTCTGGCTGAAGCAGCTGGTGATTCCTGAAGAAAGGGCCTGGGGCTCCTATCAGCCTCAAGGCCAACGCCCAGCACCCATGCCCATCGGCACAGGCTGCACTCTGAAGGCATCTGGCGGTATAGCTGGCATCTGTGGTGGGCTGCAGGGTAGACCAGTGGCCCCTGGGTCCAGGGCTGCACTACCTGAGAGGCTTCATGTTGTCTCTTCTTACGAGAGCCCTTTATTCACCTCAGTGTCCCCCAGCCTCAGGAGGAGCCGAGCTCCCCAGGAAGCCCTCGGCAGGAGGGGAAGGTGGGGCCTCAGTCCCCAAAGACCCTATTCCTTGCTGTGAAAACCGGTAGCTCCACAGCGCGGGGCATGTAGGACTCAGGCCTGGCTCCAGGGGTCAGTTTCCTTCATCCCCCTTGGGGTTCCTGTGGCTGGAGGGACCTGAAGCAGTCCTGTGGGTCGAGGCTCTGGACAGAGGTGCAGGCAAGGAGGCTGGGATGTTCCAGGAAAGAGCCAGTCCCCAGGCCCATCTGCCACCAAGTGCACATGACCTTCCTGTGGTAGGTCAGGAGGTCAGTCTTGCCTTGGGTTCTCCTTAGCACCCTCCACCAAGCCGGTGCTGCCTGGCCAAGCAAACCTTAGCAGGGGGCGGGGGTGGGGCAGTGCTGGGGCTGGGCTGAGGGCAGGACAGAGGGGCTGGGCGTGGTCACTGGGTCACTGCGACTTCAGGTGGGGTTCCTCTGGGATGAGAGTGTGAAAAAAGTAATCCCACAACTTAGTGCTGACGCCAAATCCTAGAGAAGGAGACAAACAGATTGGAGATGGGATCCTGTTGAGGAAGCAGGGACACACTTGCTGGTGAAGGAGCCTGTGGGGTGAGCAGGTGGGGACCATTTCAATATCTGTCTCTGCTGGCAGAAGCCAAGGGCAGGACACCTAGCTGTGTAGTACCCCAGTGATGCACTCTGGAGAGACCCAAATTCCTGACCTGCCTCAGGTGGGCCTGGCCACTGCCTGCCCCTTGCTTCCTCTCCTCATGCTCCGGCCTCCTTCCACGTTGTGGCCAAGCCCACCTCGGCCTCAGGCCTTTGCACCTGTGACTCCTGGGATGCTCCTCTCCCAGACATCTGCTTGCTGGCCTCCTCTCTTCAGCTAGGTCTCAGTTCTAATGACATCTCTGCAGTGACACCTTTCTGGACTGTTTTCTTTCCAGCTGTGCTGTCCAATATGGTGGCCACCAGCCACTTTGGCTGTTGAGTACTGGCAATGTGGGTAGTGTCATGGTGGGACTATATTTGTAATTTCATTAATTTAAATGTCAGTGGACAAACTTGTACTCAGTTCAGCTAGTAGAAAATTGTAAACACCTTTGGATAACTTAGGTATGCAAATCTACTTTCTTGACTGTGAATTTTATAAATATAAATCAAGTATTTCCAATGAAAACTTAGCATCCGAAGTGAGATGTGCTTAAGTGCAAAAGGGAGTCCCTGAGTGATGCAGTTGGTTAAGCACTCCTCTCCCGCCCAAAGTTGAGTGACTTGAACCTTCGCAGAGGCACCTCGGGAGACAGCCCTGGACTCTGCTTCTGAAAGGTGATGGCCATGAAGCCCCGTGGAGCAGTTCTACTCTGCACATGGGGTCGTCAGGAGTGGGAACCGACTGGTGGCCCAAGTGACTACAACGTAGGTGCAAAACCCATGACGCATTAAGAGTTAGGATAGAACCAAAAAACCAAACACATTGCCAGTGAGTTGGACCCGACTCATATGACCCCTCCTTGGGTTTCTGAGGAGGTATCATTACCTCCTCAGAAGTAGATTGCCCAACCTTCTTTCCGAGGAGTGGCTGGTGAGTTTGAACTGCCAGCCTTCTGGTTAGCAGTCAAGTGCTGTAGGCACTACGTCACCAGAGCTCCCTAGAATTAGAACATTTAAATTTTTTAATATATTTTATTTAATCCAATATGTCCAAAATATTATCATTTTCATATATATATAATCAAGGTAAAAAAAATTGAGATTATATTTGACACTCTTACCCTACTAAGAGTTAGGATAGAAATAAAATATATTGAAAATTTTAAGTGTTCATTTTTACTTTTTAATGTGGCTACTAGAAAATGTTGACTTACATGTGTGGCTCGTGTGACATTTTATTGGACAGCGCTGGGTTCCTCCCCCACATACAGAGTTCCTCCCCTGTCACCTTACTTCATCTTCTTGGTGGCACTTCTCACTCTCTGCAATGATCTTTGCCATTTACTGATTGCCCTGTGTGTCTGTCTCCGCATGCAGGCCCCCAACATGGAGGATGGGAGCCCCATGCCTGCCTTGCTGTGTGGGCATCTGCAGTACCCAGGACAGTGCCTGGCCCTGGTAGGAGCTCAAAGGTCAAACGCCGAGGGAGGTAGGCAGCGCCACCATGCTCACCTGACTTCTGATGTGCAAAGTGGTGCCTGACGTGGTGGGCCTTCATGCTGTACAGGAAGGAGCCCTTGTGCGGGGAGCCGAAGTGCAGATAGTAGTGTGTCATGTCGTAGAGCACGTAGCCCAGCAGGCCCCCAGCGAACACACTGCCCCCCACTGCCTCAGGCAGGATGAGGCGCAACAGTGCATAGAAGGCAGCGATCACCAGGGATGCTGGCACTGGGGGGAAGACCAGGCGGGAGCCGTCGAAGGGAGCCTGTGGGCAGAGAGGGCACCGGGCCTGTCTATAGTCACAGCATGCCGGACCAGAGAGGCTCCCAGTGGACGGAGGCTGGGGTGAAGCAGGCCAGGCAGGAGGGGCAGCCACCTGTCATGGGGAGGCTTGGCACCTTCGTGGCTTTGCAGAGGACACTGCAACACACCCAGCCCAGAGGCTTAGGACAGGAAGGTGGGTCTACAGATGGAAGCCGCATCTACCCCTTGTGTTATCTCTGCCCCTCCACTGTGTTCCACTGTTTTATGCCTGTTCTAGGGTGTCCCCCAGGGAGCCCCATGCTCTGGACTTTTCCTTATACCTATCTCTCCTCAAAGGGAAGCCCTACTCCCCCAGAATTCTGTTCTCTGCTGGGTGTAAGTCAGAAAAGATGTAACCAATATGTTTTTCAAGACACCAGCTCAGATGTGCAAAAAAAAATATCCCTTATGTTGCCGATACTGAACTGAGATTTTATCTTGGGTTCCTGGCAGCGACTTAATCTGTTAGTGGGAATGAGTTCAGCCACTGAGGCTGTACTGGCTGATGCAGTGGCCCAGGCGTCCGCACAGCCTGGAGTCCATGGATGGGGTACGGTGTCCTGGCCATGCTGGCTGTGGCCCTGGTTGAGTGCCTCCATTTCTCCAACCGTTTCCTGCTTGTGGAATGGGGAGAGCCTCCTGTAGAAAAAGCTCCCCAAGGGCTCCCCAAGTTTACTTGTGTCTGGAACAGTGCCTGGCACATAGTACACAGTCAGTGAACCTCTGCTGAATGAATGAATGAGCTGTGGAAATGAAAGACCACGTGGCATAACGTGTATTTGCTGAATATGATGCCATAAACACACACACGACTCCTTTGTACACACCTGGGTCAGATTAGGGTGTCTGACCTGCCACCCCTCAGAGCACCCTCTGAGCCCTTGGTTTCCCATCACTCCCACTCCACAAGCAGACTGTGGTGAGGCCCTCACCTTGTGGTGCTGGCCGTGCATGATGAAGTGCAGCGTGATGAGGTAATAGCTATTGCTGGGGGGCTTCGTGTGGAACAGGAAGCGGTGCATGAGGTACTCCATGAGGGTCCAGAGGAACAGCCCGGTCAGGAAGAGGCCCAGGAACATGGACTCCGGCACCGGCACTGCATATTCTGTGGGGCATTGAGGAAGGGGCAGGTCAGGGCAAATGGCCCCTGTGCCCACCATGCCTGGGGCCCCAGATGGCCCCACCTTACCACCCCAGTCACTTTGAGAACTGCTGCACTTGATTCAGCAGCACGGGGCCGGGTCACGCTGTTGGGGCCCCTGGGTCAGAATGGGGAGGAGGCGGTGAGAACTGCGCTGGGTGAATGATGGGGCTGCAGGCCAGAGATGCACAGTTTTCCTCAGAGGGGCTGTGGTTGGGTACTGGACCCCTCCCCAGGAAGAAGAGGGCAGGGGGCCATCCTGAAGGAGTCAGTGAGGAGTCAGGGCTTGTTGGTGAAGATTGGGGCGGGAAGGACAGGGAAACCCAGTGCAGAAATCTCAATGTAACAGACTTGAAATCATGGCATAGGAGCCTATGTGCCTTCCACAGCCTCTCACTCACCTCACGCACACCTAATTCTGCCCCTTAGGGAAGAGGCGTGCACCCAGGCACCTGGGCACTGGAAGATCAGAACCAGTTAAAACCCATTGCCATCCAATCATTTCCAGCTCATGGTGACCTTATGTGTGTCAGAGTAGGACTGTGCTCCGTAGGGTTTTCAACAGCTGTTTTTGGGAAGTAGATTGCCAGGCCTTTCTTCCTAGTCCGTTTTAATCTGTAAGCTCCACCACAGCCTGTTCAGTACCACAGCAGCACCCAGGCCTCCACTGACAGGTGGGCCTCTAGTGACAGACGGGCAGCAGCTGTGCTTGGGGATCAAACACAGGTCTCCTGCACGGAACGTGAGGAGTCTACCATCGAAACACCAACGCCCAATAAAAATGTCAAAACATCACTGCTACAGAGTTGATTCCGACTTGATAGTGACCCGATAGGACAGTGGAAACTGCCCCATATGGTTTCCAAGGTCGTAGATCTTCACGGAGCACATTGGTTCAGCTTCCTCCCACCAACCTTTTAGTTAGCAGAGTGCTTAACCACTGAGCCACCAGGGCTCCTTTCATTACTATAACCTGTTGGCATTGACTCGATTCTGACTCCTAGCAACTCCATAAGACAGAGCAGAAACTGCCCCACAGGGTCTCGAAGGCTGTAATCTTTATTGGAACAGACTGACACATCTTCCTCCTGCTGATGGGTTCAAACCACTGACATTTTACAAGCTGACTGCTTAACCACTGCACCAGGTGCACCTGCCAAATAAAAATAATAGTAGTAATAGCGAGAGCCGATGTGCACTGCGGGGTACCTATGTGCTAGGTACCGTTCAAGCACATGCCTTCGTATTTACTCTTTCTAGCCTTGTGAGGGGAGCACTGATGTCGTCATAGCAGATGGACACACAGCCAGATTCCATAGTTGCCGAGCTCATCCCAACCGACCCTGGGGGCATCTTCAACCTTCCCTCATATTTAAAATGCAGCCAGGCTCTGGCCGTGGACTCAGCCCGTCTGTGGTAGCGTTAACTGGAAAGGTAGGCTACACTTCTGTTTCTACTTTGTTGCTTCCCATGTGCTCCTCAGATCCCTAACATCTGCCTCTTCCCCAGTCCACCAGGAGAGTGAGGGCTGTGCATGCTGTAGTTCTCGCCAAGCCTGAGTATTTTTTTCAGTCCATCTCTAACCTGAGTGTGGCATATGACATTGAATCTATCAGCTCCAGAGGTTCTGAGGCTTAGGAACACCCAGAGGGTCCTCAGTTAGATTTCAGGGCGTCTGCGAGCCTGCTGCGATCATGTACCATCTGCGTGCATTCTTCTGGGGAGTGCTTTTCAGACCCTGGAAGGCTGTGGGAGCAATGAGGTGAGAATACGGAGCTCCACCCCGCCTTCCGGGATTCTGGCTTTTCTCCTCTTCTGTGGACACTCCTTCTCAGACTCCGTCATAGAATCTCTGCCTCTCGTCCCTGGGGTCTAAGCCCTGAACCTCTCTCACCACCTGCCATGTCCCGCTCCTGACTGTAACCATGCCCCACGTGGTGACGAGATCTGTAACAACCACCAGCCCCAGAGAGCTAGTTGCTCCTGGGAATCTCCATGGGCTTATCCACAGGCCCCTCTACCCTAACATCCCCCCCATGGAGCCAGCCACCTTCCCCTGTTCTCCTGCCCCCCCCATCACCCCAGGCTGCTCCTCCTGGGCGGCTTTCTTCAGTGAGGGGTGCTGATGCCCACCCAGTTACCAAGGAGTTATGCTCCACTTATCTCTCCCATCTCTCTCCCCCATGTCCAGATGGTCACCTTCTTGGGTTTGCTCACTGCTCTGTCCCCTCCACATTATCATCTCTTGCCTAGATGACTGCATCAGCCTCCCAACCCAACTCCCTGCCTCCATAAACTGTTAAAACCTCCCACAATGCCTCGTTGTTGTTGTTACACGCCATGGAGTCGGACCGACTCATAGCGACCCCTCCTTGGGTTTCTGAGGCAGTATCACTATGGAAGTAGATTACACAACCTTCCTTCCAAGGAGTGGCTAGTGGGTTTGAACCACCAGCCTTCAGATTAGCAGTCAAGTGCTTTAGACACTATGCTAGCAGAGCTCCTGCCATTACCCTCAGGCAATGTCCAAACGCCACAATCCAGCCCTGCTTCATCTTGCCATTGCATAGTGGCTCATCCAAACCACCTGTGGCTCTTTAATCATGCGTTGTTCCTCATCTCCCCCCCCCCCCCACACACACACATTTCTGCTTTCAGGCACCAGAACTCCCTTCAGTCTTTGTTATCCATTGAGATTTGGTCCACAGACTCCTCCTCTGAGAAGCCTTTGGAGATGCTTTTTGCTCTGCCCAGGCTGGGTCACAGCCCACTCAGGCTGCAGATGCCCTTCCTCACCAATTCCCTGTGATCAGGGCAAGGGCTGGACACACAGAAGCACTGCTGGATCACCATCTCACTGAAGCCAGGCATTGTCATGTAGGTCACCCTGTGAGGGTTCCAGCATGGCCTCTCTCTGACAGTCTCTGGGGTTACTCTGAAGTTGCAGGACCTTCTGTTTTTCAAAGGCTGTCCTACACACATCTCGGCTGTTAAGCCTTGAGCTTGCCTCTCTGTTCAGCTCCCTGGTGCTCTGCACCCCGACTCTTGTGCATTTATTAAGCAGCTGTACCAGGACCCCTGAGTCTCCCTCACCTTGTTTTTGGACTCTTATTTTCTCTGCCTGTGGCTTGTGCCTTACCCAAGGGGCTAGGAGATGTGGGAGGCTGTGGAGACAGTCACTCACGCCACCTTCGCTGGCATCATGGTTTCAGTTCACCACTGTCCACACTGGGTCTTTATTAGACAGGCACATTGCAGCTCCCTGCAGAGGCCAGGGGTGCTGACCCAGCCCTCAGCTCACTCTCTCTGCCACTCAGAAAGTCCTCTCCAATAGGTCAAGTCCCTGCCCGCCCCCTCACCCCAGCATCACCCACGCTGGCCCATGACCCATCCGGCTGGAGCTGGTACTGCGTGGCATCTCTGAAGGAATCTGGCAGAGGGACCAGGGCCAAACCTTCAGCCTGGCCTGCCCCTCCCCCGCAGTTCTGGCGGCTCTGCCACTGATGGCGATTGTTAGAGGAGCGCTGGGGACAGTGGGCGATTCAACCAGCAGGCCTACTGCGCAACAAGCCCTGTGCTGTGCCTCAGCTATTCAGCGTGGGCAGAAAGGGTAACCGTGGCTCTCAGGACAGACATGTTCGTTAACCCTCAGGGACCAGGAACAGCTCTGTGCAGCTTGCTCATCCCCTACCCCCCATTGGGGTCAAGTGGAAAAACCAGGCCCCTCCTGTCTGAGTGTGTGGGAGGAGCCTGCAGCCAGTGGAGAGCATGGGGCCGGGGGTGCACAGGCAGGAAGTCAAGGGGTGATCATACTACTGCCAGCACCCTCTTTCCTGGGCCATCTGAGCCCCCGCCCCAGACCAGCACCTCTCCCGGTAGGCTGTGTCTGGACAGACAGACCACTTGGGCAGGTGGCATATACCTGGAGGCCCAAGACAGGCAGTGAGCCTTGGAGGCCACACCTAAATCTTATGGGCTGCCCTGAGACTCTGCCTTCCAGGCTCTTTGGAAGTTACCCCAGGCTGGCTCCTCTCTCTGTCTCCTGCCCCTCAAAGCTAGGGGCACCTTGTACCCATATCCCAGACACAAGACCCTAGATCTCTCACTCAACTTCTCTGAGGCTCCACTTCCTCATCCTAAAAGGGGCTGATGATGGCGTCTTTCTCCTGGGCTGCTGGGAGGTGAATAGAGCCAGTCCCTGGCAAGCACAGGCTGGCCAGGGAAGTGCTCAGGAGAGGAGAGTGTGCTGGTACTCCAAAGGGCCTCTGCACAGGAGCCTGTGACATGGAGACACTGTGGACAGGCCAGCATCTCAGCCAGGCTCCCTGCTACTCTGTGCTCTGTTCCCGGGCTATTCGGAGTCCAGCTCCCAGTTCGGCCACATGACAGAATGATTTATTTCATTCAGTTTCTGGACAAAGAACCCAGGTCAACATATGTTCTGATACAAAGTTCAGTGTGTATGTGGGGTCATAGCCATCAAGGCGATTCCAACTAATAGCAACCCCCATTGTGTTTGCAAGGATGTTAACTTTATGGAAGCAGACCACCCCATCTTTCTTCCACAAAGCAGCTGATGAGTTCTAACCAATGACCTTGTAGTTAGCAGCCAGATGCCTTAACCACTACAAAAACAGAGCTCCTTAAAGTTCAGTTTTGTTATTGCTATGTCACCTGACAAAATGATTCCATTTCTCCTGACCTGTTGCTGATGTTTGTATCCATCTGGGAGGGTCCGGGCAAAATTTTTGTGTATAAGCCTATTTGTACATAACAAGACCAAACCCAAGCAAACCATTTGCTGTTGAGTGGACCTGACTCACAACAACTGCCATGGGTTACAGAGTAGAACTGCTCCATAGGGTTTGGTTGGCTGTCGTCTTTACGGAAGCAGATCACTTTTCTTTGCTGGTCCTGCTGAGTGGGTTTGAACCATCTGGGGGTTATTTTATTTCTACAGGTAAAAACCATTGCTGTCAAGACTCATATCAACCCTGTAGGACAGAGGTGAATTGCCCCATGGGTTTCCAAGGCTGTGATCTTTATAGAAGCAGACCGCCACATCGTTCTCCTGCAGAGCGGATGGTGGGCTCAAACCACTGAACTTTCATTTAGCAGCCAAATGCTTAACCACTGCACCTCCAGGACTCCTGTTTTTCTACAGCTAGGCCTTGTTATAACAATTTCATGATACAGTTGAGGTCTCTGTGTGCTCAGAAACTCAGGACCCAGAAGAGCACTGAGGGCATTTACTTCCAGGATCTCTGTGGGAACAAATCAGAAAGGAACCTGGAGTTACCTGTGGTGAAGGAAGTGAAGAGCCGAATGTTGCCCTGGGCGAGGGTTCGGTAGTAGGACCAGCTGAGGTACAGCATCAGGGGAACCCAGATGATGGGGACACTATACCTGCAGGAGGGCCACCAGGATGAGAAAGAGACATGCACAGGAGCTCAATAGGGTCCAGCTTCCCTAGGGACATGCCTCTTGATTAGAGGGAGTCAAGATGACCCCAAAGCATATACAGAAAGCATATGGAGACCTGAGGTCAAGGGACTCTAAAAAAAAAACCAAGCCAAACACACTGCCATCGATTCAATTCTGACTCATAGCAACCCCTTTTGGGTTTCTGAGGCGATAAATCTCTACAGAAGTAGATTGTCCAGTTTTCCTTCTGTGGAGTGGCTGGTGGGTTTGAACCTCCAACCTTCTGGTTAGCAGTCAGATGCCTTAGGCACTATGCCACAGAGCTCTTTGGGAACACTGTAAAGGAGGAAAAAATAGGACAGAGGCTGTGAGTCCATCTGCTTCTGTCTCTGAAATGAGTTACTGGCAGAAAGGAACTGTGTCCACAAGGGTATGAACTCTGAGTATCTGGATAGACACTGACCTCTTGTGGCAGAGGAATGAATTGAAGGCTAAATTGTTCCCATGGGTATTGTTGATTCCAACTAATAGCGCCCCCTTGGTGCAGAGAACTATTCTACAGGGTCAAGGCTGTGACCTTTTGGAGACAGATTGCCAGGCCTTACTTCTGAGATGCCTCTGGGTTTGAACTGCCAACCTTTCAGTTAGTAGTCCAGTGCTTAACCATGTATATGCTTTGGGGTCATCTTAACCAAAGCACTCCTAAGGGCATTAGAGGCTTGACAGCGTGGACAGGAGTATGTAAGAGACCAGGGGTGGCATCCTAAGCAGTTGCAGACTACATGTTGGGTTGTTACCCAATTAGTGGTCAAACCCATGTGTAGGAATGAACTGTACATAAGCCACACCCCATTCTCCCTAAGAGCTTACAGTACAGCCCTGGCCCTGGAGAGAAGCCCAACTGCCCCTTCCCCTTTCATATCTGCCTGGTACCATCAGGAAAGAGTGACAGTCCACCATGGGCTCAGAGGAGGTCTTACCAGACAGTCTTGGAGAGGGCCTCAATGAGGTCTGAGTGAAAGAGGCGGATGGGCCTAGCCACTGGCTGGTGGACCCACTCATCATACTTCTCTCCCAAGTGGCCCACCTGCCACAGTAGGGGCTTCTGCCAGTCCACCAGGTCCTGCAAGACACAAGGTAGAGGATACTTGATATTCGCGCCTGTCCACGTTCATTCTCCCGACTCCTGACTATAGTATCCCAGTGCCCCCTCAGCCATGTGGTCTGCGTAGGGCTATCCACCCTCCCAGTCAGTGGTCCAAAGCTGAGCAAGCTGCTTGTCCCAGCCCCCTGGCCACAGCGATAGGATCCGGGGCAGGCCCACAACCCAAGCTGATACAGTGAGCCATCTTCATGCTGGAGTTGCTAAGTTGGCAGGATGGGAGCCTGGAGCAGCTAGCAAAGCCTGCCTGAGGACACAGCCAAGCCAAGAGCAGGAGACGTACAAAATCCTGCTGATGATATCTGAACACCGAGAGTCAGCTAAGCCTGAAGTCGGAAGTCTTCCCCAGGACTCTTCGGGCACAGAAGCCAATATATTGTGTGTCAGGAATGAAATGGGCCCTTTTCCTTTGGCATTGTCCTGGGTGAGTCACATTCATCCATTCCAAAAACCACGTACTCAACAATTTGCTTAATATTTCAGATGCATATATGTCTATGCTAGGTGCTAGAAGAAAAAACAGGAATGTAAGAGACCATCTTTGCTTCATTCAGCTTAGTGTTTAACTAATTCCTGAGTTCAGGCTCTGAAGTCTGGCCTGAGGACAAATCTTGGCTCCACTACTGACTGTGTGATCTTGGGCAAGTCACTGGAGCTCTCTGAGCCTCAGTTTTCAAGGCTCTGAAATGGTCATTATAGTGGTGCCAGCAAGATGAGACATGACAAGTAAGACAGTTTGGTCTTGATGCAAAGCAGGCTGAGATCAGAGATCAGGAGGCAGGATGATTGGCACAAGAGCCCAGTTCTAGGGTAGGGGACAAGAGCTTTGCAGAGGACACAGAGTTTGGGTTGGAGCTTATACCACACGGATGTTGGAGAGGTGAAGAGGGTGCAGCAAGAGAGGGAACAGGGACAGAGATGTGGACTTGAGAACAACTATGGCCTGTTGGGTATTTTGACCCAGTCTGCAGGGCAGCAGGAGGGACGCTGCTGGGATTTACATAACAGAATCCCCTATACCTGGCCCAGGGCTGGCACTTCGACCTCTTAGCCTTTGTCTCCAAGGGATAGAAGTGTTCGTACCCCATGGGTACTCCCAGGATGATCCTTTGAGGGTAGTAGGAAGAATTAGACTCAATTTCTAATTATATTTATCTCATCTTTAAACTGTTTTCTAATGTACATACTCTAAGAGTAGAATGAGGCTGTGAGGCTGGAGGCTATGCCACTGGTATTTCAAATACTAACAGGTCACCCATGGTAGACAGGTTTCAGCAAAGCTTCCAGACTGAGACAGACCGAGAAGAAGGAAGGGACCATCCACTTCTCAAAGAATTGCCCAGTGAAAGCCTTATGGTTTTATGTTTATAATATTATATTTACAATATATTTATATTAGTGGAAAACTTTATGAATAGCCCTGAAACGTTGTCTGATATAGTGGCAGAAGATGAGCCCCTCAGGTCAGAAGATACTCAACAACTCACTGGGGAAGAGCTGCCTCCTCAAAGTAGAGTCAACTTGAATGATGTGGATGAAGTAGGGCTTTCAAGACCTCTGTTTGCTGATGGGGCACTATTCGAAATGGGAAGAAACAGCTGAATCACCTATTAATAACTGGAACATGGAATGTACAAAGTATGAATGTAGGAACATTGGAAGTGGTCAAAAATGAAATGGAATGCATAATGTTCAACATCCTAGGCATTAGGGACCTGAAATGGACTGGTTTGGCCACTCTGAATCAGATAGTCATATGATCTACTGTGTCAGGAATGACTAATTAAAAAGGAATGGCATCACATTCATCATCATAAAGAATGTTTCAAGATCTATCCTGAAGTACAATGCTATTAGTGATAATATCCCCTTGCCTACAAGAAAGACCAGTTAATACTACTACTATTTAAATTTACATCTCAACCACTAAAGCCAAAGATAAAGAAATTGAAGATTTTTACCAACATTTGCAGTCTGAAATTGACCAAACATGCAATCAAGATGTATTGATTATTACTGGTGATTGGAATGCGAACATTGGAAACAAGAATTACTGGTAGTTGGAAAATATGGCCTTGGTGACAGAAATGATGACAGAGATCGCATGATAGAATTTTGCAAGACCAATGACTTATTTATTGCAGATACCTTTTTTTCAACAACTTAAATGGCAGCTGTACACATGGACCTTGCCAGACAGAATGCACAGGAATCAGATTGACTATATCTGTGGAAACAGGCGATGGTGAAGCTCAGTATCTTCAGCCAAATAAGGTCAAGAGCTGACTGTTGTTTTTATATGCCGTCAAGTCGGACCCGACTCATAGTGACCCCTCCTTGGGTTTCCGAGGCAGTATTACGACGGAAGTAGATCGATTGCCCCATCTTCCTTCCAAGGAGTGGCTGGTGGGTTTGAACCGCCAGCCTTCTGGTTAGCAGTCAAATGCCTTAGACACTATACTACCAGAGCTCCTCAAGAGCTGACTATGGAACATAATTGCTCATAGGCAATTTGACACTGAAGAAAATAAAAACAAGTCCATGAGAGCCAAAATATGACCTTGATTATACCAAAAACCAAACGGCCTGCCATCGAGTCGAATCCAACTCATAGTGACCCCTCCTTGGGTTTACAAGGTGGTATCACTATGGAAGTAGATTGCCCAGCCTTTCTTCCGAGGAGTGGCTGGTGGGTTTGAACCACCAGCCTTCTGGTTAGTAGTCAAATGCCTTAGGCACTACACCACCAAAGCCCCTACCTTAATTATATCCCACCTGAATTTAGAAACCATCTGAAGAATAGATTTGACACACTGAACACTATGACCCACAGACGAGTTGTGGGATGATATCAAATAAAGAACATCATACATGAAGAAAGCAAAAGGTCATTAAAAAAAAAAAAAATAGCAAAAGAAGAAAAGAGAAAATTGGATGTCAGAAGACACCTTGCAACTTGCCCTTGACCGGAGAGTAGCTAATGCAAATGGAAGAAATGACAAGATAAAAGAGTTGAACATATTTCAAAGAGCAGCTCGAAAAGATGATAGTAAATAATAATTTATAAATCAAACTCACTGCCATCTAGTCGTTCCAACTCATAACGACCCCTCCTTAGGTTTCCAAGGTGATATCTCTAAAGAAGTAGATTGCCCAACCTTCCTTCTGAGGAGAGGCTGATGGGTTTGAACTGCCAGCCTTCTGGTTAGCAGTCAAATGCCTCGGCGTACATATACATATAATGGAAGGTATGCTAAAAAATCTACCCATAGGGATGCAAGATCCAAGAAGTTTAGAGACCATAGCTCTAAGCAATGGGGAGCGTTAAAGAGCTAATGTATTGAGGAATATTACTCAGTACCAATAACAGTAAGTTAAGAGCAATTAAATTGATGCAGCACCTTCAAAGTCTGCCTCTGCAATTGATCAACTGCAGGGTCCTGGGCAAGTGTCTTTACCTCTTAGAGCCCTTCCAATTTTCTTGTCTGTAAAGGCAAGTGTGCCCCTACCCACCCCACTAGCAGTGGGGATGAATTTCCACAGCGTGTGGCATATAGTAGGTACTCAATCAATCTCTGGTACAAGGGACAAAAGTTAGGAGCTCCTGCAGGTAAGATGGGTGGTAGTGATAGGAAAGGCGAAGAGCAAGAGACGTCAGTGGAAGAACTCTCACGCCTGGAAAAAGAACCATGATCCTGGAAACCTGCCTTCCCGCAGCCCTGGATGGAATCTCTTCCTTCCACAAGCCTCCATGCTACAGCCACCTGGGCACCAACAGGTCATCCAAGCCTAGGCCTCTTTGTTTCCAGCCCTACTGGAGTGAAGCTTTGGAGCAGGAGTGGAGCAGTTCCCGGGCAAACAGGGCAGGTCTCCGTTCACTCTTTCTGTGCCTGTGACAGAGAGGAGAAGGCCCAAAGGGGCCTTTTGGGAAAGGCCCAAAGATAGTCGTGGTTCCTGCCGTGAGGACTTGGCAGGTTTCAGTTGCAAGCCGCCTTTCTGTGGCATGGAGGACACTTCCTGCTTCTGACCCAGGTCAGCCCAGAGCCATGTGCCTCAGCCCCAGGTAAATCAGGTAATCAACCAAACCCAGCTTTGTCGCCGATTTTCTTCCTGGCCCCAGAGCCTTGTCTACTTGCCCTCATCCTTGGTCTGCAGGACCTTACCAGCAAATGGACTCATTGGGTTCATTTTGGATCGTTTCTTCCATTCTTCCACCCTCGGTCTCTAAACACATACACACATGCATGTACACATACATGTACACATGTGCATGCACACATGCACTCACATATACAAATGTGTACACACACCTGCATGCACACACACAAATGCACATGTATTTACACACCCCTGCACCACCAGGAAAGAGAACTGGAAGAACCAGCTTGTGGCCTATGTTTACACTGTGTCCAGCAGCGTGTATAACTCCACCCCAGAAGAAGCTGGGTCAAGGTCACTGTGAGAGTTTGAGGCCCTGCTCTAATTGCAGTAACACTCAGAGCATCTGCTATGGTCCAAGCATGGTTCTAAACACCTTACAAATCATCTGATCCTTGCCATACCCCAGGTAGGTACCACGTATTATTACTCTCATTCTGCAGGTGAGGAAGCTGAGGCTAAGTGACTTGCCCAAGATTACCCAGTTACAGCTGTTGATGAAGTGGCCTCTTTATTATTGTGAACGTTGGTAAGACTCTTCATCCTGAAGGGCACTTTGTCTGATATTTATAAAGCCATGCTGGCTTCCTTGGTGTTTGCATGGTGGATCTTGACACCTTTTACCTTCAACCTGTCTACATCTTTATACGTAGAGGCATCTCTTGCAGACAGCATATAGTTGGGTTTTGCTTTTTTATCTAGTCAGATAATTTCTCTTTTAATCTGAGTGTTTAGTCAATTTAGTTAATGTTAGAATAGGTCTACCTCTTATTATTTATTTTCTGTTTCTTTCCTCTTTTCTT